CCCTCCTTCCGACAACGCTGAGAATTGATAGCGATGCCGCAAGCCCTTCTCGCGATTTGTGGAAGGTGTCTTTGTTCTGCTTTCAAAAGAGTTCCTGTAACTATGCTTGACAACCTTAATTTTGAGATTTTCAACTATTTTGGAAAATAACAGCCTGTCAGAATGATATTATGTGGAAATATACGGCTATTTTCTCTGTATGTGCCACGTTGTGCGAGTCTGCGCCCAAGGTTGCCTGCGCTTTACCATGGGTGGCTTGTCCCGACTTCCTTACCTCTGGATACACGAGCCAAGCTAAGTCATTGAAAACGTCACTACGCATATGCACGGCAGTCCCCAGTAGCAGCGCACGTCATTTCCGAGAACTGCAAAGTTGCTCCAAAATCTTAAGTGTCCTAGAAACTACGTGCACGGTTGCATGAGCAAGCTGAAAAGTTGCTCAAGACGCGCTGACGAACATGGTATCATTACGTTCCGGCAAGGCAGCGCCACATTATTTCAAATTGATAAAGCAGTCCTATATGTAAATTTTACAGAGTAATTAATATCGTCTAATATAAAGAACCAACAATAATTCAATACTAAGAAAAAAAACGTCGACCACGTATAGCAATCAGGGTGCACGTGTCCAGGTAGATAGGATCATTCGTGTTTTTCCCGCCAAGAGCGCCACAGGTCTTTTTTTGCGACCTTCAATAAAAACATCAAAAATTAAATCCCCTCTCAAGGAAAGAAAAACATGGTTGGTTTGAGTCAGTGCGATAAAAAGTTTTCGTCAGTGGAGTCATTTCATTCTCTGGGCAGTTGTCGGTCTCTTTAATCATAAAAGGCGCCCGTCTTCTTGATTGCAGTGAAACCCCTCGACAAAAATCACGTGTCATCCGAGTGTCCAAGCTATACCAACTGCAACGTGATATTGCATAATGGCGATGAAACATAACGCGAACTTGTAATGCAGGTGTATCAGTGAATGCACAAAGGCGTATCAGTGATGATATACTGGGAAATATAAATGCGTTTTTTTTAGGGGCGAAGCTCCTTAAAGCGGCACCCGTTCGTTCCTCGTCGTAGTCGTAGTGCGTAACCAGTCTTACGTTTTGACCTGCAAGGTGGTGCCGGTGGGAGATTTCTCCTGTGCATTGTTGAACAATAAAAAATTCACAGCGTGCGCGTTCCCTAAAAGCCGAATTCTCCTGTCTCTCATTCCTCATTAGTAATCACTGGCATGTACAATGAGCACTATCTGGCAGGAAAGGGTTGCTATGTTGTACTCGCTGGGAGTAACGTCCTTGATTTTAAAAAGGTTTAGCGAGCGTTGGGCCGCAGTGCCATGAATACAGTGAACTAGTATATACCATGAACTGGAGGTGGTTAAAGGTGGGAAGTAGACACGAAGCGCAAGCCGTAAGAAAGCGTGCGTGTGCCACCTCTCGTTTAGTTCTTAGAATGTCCGCTGGATGGCGCTGCTTCTATATGTGGAATGTATGATGAAAAGATGCAAGATGGTGGTACTTGGAGTGTTGACTAGATAGACGAACGGACACACGGATGGCTGCACAGACGAATGGATGCATGGACGGACGCACGAACAGACGCACGCATGGCCGGGCGGATGGACGCATGGACGGTCACACAGATGGACGCATGGACGGACGGAAGCAAGAATGAATGGACGGACGGATGCTTCGCCCCACTCTCCATCATTCGCAGCATATCCCCGTGGATATGCTGCGATTTTTTTTTCGGTACTTAGCTTCAAAAAAGTGAAACTTTAGGGTGCTTTCTTTTGCTCATGGGCAAACACGGAGGTGTTTAAACACACGTTATAGAATCAAACTTACTGACAACATATAGATAGAGCGTTCATCATGTCACGTTTTTTCATCTATGTTCCAGTTTGCGTTCTTTCTATACACACTACGCAGCGACATTTCCAGCGGGAAGTACTGCAGCCTCTATAGCTGGCAAGGTCACGTTTCGCTGGACTGAACGGCCTAAATCCACTGCATTTTGCATCTCTTGTCCGACATCTGCGGAGTTAGCTCCTTTATAACGTACAAGTTGTGATGCTCGCATGTCAGATTACATCGCACGTTTCAGAGAAAGCGCAATGCAATCATAGCTTAAAAGCTACATTCTTTATTGTGAGGTAAGTAAAAACAAATACTCGCTCCGCTCTATAAACATATAGAAGGCAATGCCAATTAGAAAAGAAAAATGAACAAAGCCAAGTGAAATTTCGAGGGAGAAGGATGTGCAGGAGAAGGGGACTTCACCCCCAGTCGAATCACAAAAAAAAAAATAAAGTACAATGGTGATCTTGCTGCTAACATGATTGACCGAGTTAATCTTCAGGGACGAATCTTGTGATGAGCAGCTTAATGAGGCTGTCTTGGAAATCTTGCTTTCCTGTCGGTTGATAGAGTAGGAGTTTCCTGTTGATTTAAACTTCTTCCTAAATGATTGCGCTGCAAAGCTAAAAGACTTTATTACTGCCCCCCTTGCCCCACCACAGAAAAAAATAAGGTCGGCATCTTTCCCACTTGATTGCATTCGTTTATTGATTACCTTCTACCGCTGCGAGACTTTTTGTATGCGCTGTCAAGCATATCCAATTTCAAAATAACAACTAGCTACCTCAGTAGCAGCGAAATTTTAACAATGAATACGTAAGTACGTGCGCGAACAAGCTGCACTTTTGCACTTTAAGCTCGGCAGCACCCAAGGCAGACTCACTTATGTATATGATTCTATGTCATATACCAGCATTGCAGGCAAGTGCATCGCCGTGTTCGTCTTTTTTCCGGAAAGCCTTTCTTAGCTTCACGATATTGCTATGGGAAGCCAATGTTTCAAGGTTGCTAACTATACAGCAGATAGGAGCGAAGTGCGCTTTAAATTATTATTTCAGTTAGCGTTTATTGGGCATCCTGGTGCTTTCTCCGTAAACCACATGCATCGTCATCATCAGTCCTTACTTCAATTAACTGAGAGAACATTATTAAATTCAGAACTGAGTATATACGGTGTCATATACCCCCCAAAATAATTTTCGGTGTTCACCGATATGATGAACGCTGTGACGCCATAAAGATAACTTCCAAATTTCTACTGGGGAAGCATTTTGTGAGGATCACGAATACGTCTGATTGTATATCTACGTATCACAATGAAACGCCACAGTTTGTCTATTACAGCGACAGCGGGAATAGACCAACAGCATAGCGAGCCTATGACGAAAGGTGGGGAAAATATGACTTGGCAAAACAATCGCTGCAAAATTAAGCACGGATCGTGAATGGTCCTCGAAATTTGCTACAGATTTTTTTTCACCGAAAAATCCGGGGCCCGCGTGTGTGTACCTTACATGGGTCAGTGAATCGAGGCAGTTGTCGACTTCCGGTCATGATCGACGATAAACAAGAATAGCCCTTGTGTTAATCGGAATCTGAAAAGCTTCCAAATGCGATCTGTCAATATTTAATAGCCTTCTTTTTTAGGGCTGTTTTTGGAGTTCGATAGTGGTTTTAGTGCTGTGGCAATGTATTGCGGTGTGGTTAATTTCGAATGTGAACCAGAGTACAGCAACGCAGCCTAATACGGAAACACAGGTGACCATGCACAGGCTAAATCATTTTTTGATTGTCACTAAAAAAATTGTGCTACAACAGAACCCCATTGTGCATGCAATCGGACGGTGCAGTCACACGCTAACGTAGATATAACCGGAACGTAATGTAAATTTGTGAACAAGTGTCGGATAAACTGAACGCTTGCACACCTAAAAGAAACACTTGACAAGAATAGCGCCGAATAGAGTGAAAAACTTGCATTTTTAAGGTAATTTTGCTACAGTAGCTAGGTAGGCTGCCACAGATCTTGGAAGTTACATGCAATAACTCTCTTTTGTGCTTGGGTGGTTCGACATTGGTTGCGTCTACGCATGTTTTTATTACCTACGAAAGACAGAGAAGTATGACCGCTAATGAGAAAGCTGGCCTACAATTACAGCACAGAGCACATTGTGGAGTTTTCTGCCATAAAGGGTATGTATAAAATGGCATAGCCTTCGAAATTGTCAAGAAAAGAACCCACAAGAATATTGTAGGTCGTGGGGAAAATTCTACCCTTTTAATGGACGTTAGAAATCTAATTGTACGCATATACAAGAAACGTATTTTGACAAAGTAGCAGTAGAAACTGCGATCACGTGAGCTTTTTTAGTATTTTTATAATGCCCTTTAGCGAAATAAAACGATTTTTCGTAGATGTATTTCCGTGACCATTGCCTTTGGCTGAAGCCTCGCAGGAACGATTTCAAAATCAAGTCATACGTGGAGCGCCGGGCAAGCACACATTTCTATTGTACACTCGTATGTTTGTGACGAACAGTAAACCGGGCTCCTCGATTCCAAATAAAAGTGGTCTCTTACCCCTATCCTCGGTTTCACTTTTTCTGTTTCGTAGACGTACAAACACTTTGTCACTTTTTTAAATGAAAATTATTGATTAAATATTTATCATAAAGGCAGAAACTAATGAGAAAAAGACAGAAACTAAAAGACAACTGAATTCATTTATGAGAAACCGGTATAGGCATTCTTCTGGCTGTTCGGGCTGCTTTCGTGTGATCGCTGAATGCTTTTTTTCACATAGACTTGCGTCACTGAAAATACCTCTGCGCATGATGCTCGCTATAGAGCACATACTATGTGGTCTGTAGCACTATTCTGTCTCGGCAGTGGGAGTTCGTGCTGCACTAAGCAACAGCACTACGCAGCGGACGTTCTGAAGGGCACAAACTTTCAGATCACTTTTCGTTTCACGGCCATTGTTTTCCCGCCGCTCTTCGGATAGGGCCAAATTGGAGCCTCCTCTTCTCGCCCCGCCCCTCGTAGCCAGCAGCTTCCTCCTCTCCGGTTGATGGCGGCGTGCTAGCAAGATTAGCGGAGGCAACACGTGCAGCCGGGTTGGGCAACGCCGCTGCCCGTGACGGGGGGATGGGGTGAGGAGGAAAGGGACCCCCTCCCCGGCCCCTTTGTTCTTGGGGCCGCGCACCGCCTCCGGTGCAGGACCCGTGGGCACGCAGCTGCGGCACACCTGCAGCCCCCACCTGAGCGCTCACCTGGCACGGAGCCGGGGCCACGTGCGCCAGAAATGATGCTGAGCGCCGTCCGAGCGGCCGCACTGGCTGTGCTCCTGCTGCTTCCGCCGACGGCCGCCGCACTCTGGGGCCCCTGGTCGGCGTGCCGCCGATGCCAGCAGACCCGACGCCAGTTGTGCCCGCCGGTGAGTAAACCTAGAGGCTAAAGGCGCCACCGTGCCTGATGACCAATTTTTTCACGATGCAGGGTTCCGAGTGCGGTCCACTGTGGCTCGAGGTGCGCGCATGCCCCGACAAGCGATGCCCTCAGCCGCGGCTCAGGGCCCGCTCTGCCAGGAGACCATCGGAGAACAAGTTCCACGTGCTGCACCACTTGCAGGGTCTCGTCTACACCGACTGGTCTCGCTGGTCTCCCTGCAGCAGCGACTGCAAGACTAGACGCCAGCGGCTTTGCAAAATGCCTCTGGTCTGCGGGAAAGCCGTCCTAAACGAGGACGCACTCTGCTACGTGCGTGGAAGCCCCTGCGAGAAGCGCTTCGCCTCAAGTAAGTCAGCACAACGGCGCAGCCACCTTACGACGACGATGCGCGGCTGCCAGCGCGTTGCTCACGCTGGCGGCCGAGCTGCGTCTTTTCTTGCTGTGTTTTTCTAAGAAATGATAAGATTCGATTTCCGCTCTACCATGTATGTTATTTAGGTGACATTACCAAGGCATTCATGAGCAAATGCTTGGGTAATACCACCTTACGACATTTTCTGTTACTAGTTATGCGTATTTGCCTTTTTTTTTGTTCTTCAATTCTGCTTTCTTTTTTCCCACGAAGGAACTGCAGGCAATGTTGTCTTTGGGTCAGTTTATTTGTTTGCTTCTTTTTCTTCTCTTTTTTTTCTCAGACACCATATCTCAGGCAATGGTGTGTGTCAAAACGGGCCATCTAGCAAAGAATAATGAAATGTGGTGCGAAAGATTGTGGCGGTTAATCAAAATGATTCATATTTAGGTTGGCTAAGCTACACTGAGATAGGAGTGAGGCGAGGCACAAAGCTAAATAACAGAAACACACGAAGTAAATACTGATACGCTGCTTAGGTGGCAACCATTCAAGTAAGGAAAAGGTACTCCCCAGAGAATTTTGAACTGTTTGCAGAGTGTAAAAAGGAGAAATGCCGCTGCAATTATATATATTGTTTCAAGGCCCCGTTAGCTTTGTTTTTCTCTCTCGTCTTGTTTCAAGTAACAGTGAAATAATTAGGCGCGTACTTGCCCTCGCATCAGTACGAGAGTGGGTGTATGAAGTAGATAGAGTAAATTTGTTACGTCTTTATATGATGAGTGATCGGCTGCCCCAACAGCAAGTTCTACGAAGTACGAAGTAACGTTACCATGTTGGAAAAGCAAATCATTGCTTATGTGTTGCGCTACATATGTACCACAAAAATACTTTTTCTGCAAGCATGATACCAATGCACGTAGCCTTATACGCAACCCGCTCATGAATTTGGTTAATTAGTTGTCAGTGAAAATGTTGCAGGCGAAGTGTTCTGTAATTCAGCCTGCATGTTCCTCTCTAACAAGGTTGTCAGCTGCCGCATGCCCTTATAAAATAACCAATCACCTCTTGCATAATTCGCTGGCAAACAATAAGTAACAATAATTAAAATTATTGGCGCAAGCACCATTCGTCAGATTAGCAAAGCTTTTTGGTCGTAAAATAGGATAGTCATCACGCAGCAACCATTTATATATCTGAATCCGGCCACTAAAGTTTACGGGACGCAATATTAGCGAAGAATGTGAATTCCTCGTTAAGTTCGGAGTATAGCTTCAAACCAAAAATTTCGGCCTGTAGTTTTTTTCCTGTGCAGGTTATCTATTATTAGAAGCAGTAATTTGCATTTGACGTGTAAGCACCGTTCACCAAAGCTTCAACTGGGGCTGCTTGCCGTGACCCACGTCCTGTAAGCAACGTTCAGCAGAGTTTGAACTTCGGCTAGTTGGTACGGCATTCTAATGTTGCGCGGAGCAAAATGCGCATCGCTAGACCTGTACCCTTTTTTAGTAAGTCCTTCGTGTATTCTACTCAGAGCAACAACATTACAGTCCCGTAGACATTCGTCACCGGTTGATTATGTAATGTCCCCCATCGTAATTAGTTGGATCATATTCTTATGCACCCCTCTATAGAACTCCTTTGAGAATACAAACGTGTGGTGGCTGAATTAATTTGTTTTCATTGACATGAAGTTCTCGTTACTGCTTAGCTACTTTCGAGAATCATTACGTTCACTAAAATGATCACCCGACGCAGGTTGTTCCAAGGTGCGCAAGTGTAAGAAATGTTTAGCTATTTGTGTCTACGTTTGTTATACGGCCTCTTGGCCAGATACTTTTATTTGCAGGCGCTCTTTGTGCCCTTTCGGCACATGTCCAACAGGAAGAGTGTGTGGCGCCAATATTTTTACGAATAATTTCAGCGCATTAGCGAGGCCCTACATCAATATCTTAGTTGAGAGAAACACTAAAAATGGCATTCAAGTCCAGGCTCGTCAGTAACGTCTGTCTTGCTTGTGCTTTACACGAAATTCGCACTGTGAATTGTGGTTCACAGTACGAACCCCTGCTGTAGAACCATAGGGAAATAACTTGCTTGTGCTGAAGACCAAGCTGTTGCGGCTGCATTTCTATTTGCAAGACACTTCTCGCGAAATGCAAAAAAAGATCGTCACTTGTGTATTCAGATACAGACATAAGGTAATAGAGAAAACAAATAAATTCTGGGGTTTTACGAGCCGAGACCACGAAATCTCTATGACGCATACCATATAATATTGGAATCCAAGTTAATTTTGACCACCAAGCTAGGTGATGTTGGCTAACTCGTGTATACGTATATTATGGCCTAAATAAAGTTGTTTCGTGCGCTCGCTCATAATCGGGGTAAACGCTGATCTGACACCATTGGTATTCTCACATTTCGCTCCCTTCGAAACGCAGCCCCCACAGGCAATTGACAAAATGAATAAAAATCAAATTGACAAGCTCAATCAGTTAAAACGATGAATGCAGGTCCCCATCACACAGTTGCTGTAGGGCTGGTTTATGTGATAGCCGTATAAATAGACGTGGAAGGTTTTCTGTATGGTTACTTGTAGAATTTGTCATTTTCTCTGACCACCTGTTTCTTAGCTTCACCGCAGATTACTCTGACAATCCGCAAAACTCGCAGGAGCAAAATGCTTCAGTTAACCATGAAAGAGTCCGTATGAAGTGACTCTTAAATCACCGGTAACAGTTGGCGCGATCATCCGACACGCTGCAAGCTTTCATTCAGTCTTTGAAGCCGGACATTTATTGTGCTGTGCTGTGATTCAATTAAACGCGTTGCTAAATTTGCGTTAATTCTATTTAGGCTCTTTTGGTTGCCGACCAGGCGCGTGCGCGGTTCTATTTAGGCTCTTTTAGTTGCCTTCCCGGCGCGCGTTTGTTTGTTTGTGTGTGTTTGTGTGTGCGTTTGTTTGTTTGTGTGTGTGCGCGCGTTTGTTTGTTTGTTTGTGTGTGTATGTATGTGTGTGTGTGTGTGTGTGTGTGTGTGCGCGTGTGTCCTGTGTGTGTGTGTGTGCGTGTGCGTGTGTGCGCGTGTGTGCGCGCGTGTGTGCGCGCGTGTGCGTGTGTGCGTGCGTGCGTGCGTGTGTGTGTGTGTGTGTGTGGTGTGTGGTGTGTGTGTGTGTGTGTGTGTGTGTGTGTGTGTGTGTGTGTGTGTGTGTGTGTGTTGTGTGTGTGTGTGTGTGTGTGTGTGTGTGTGTGTGAAATCAATCTTGGAATCTCTTCCTTACTTTTCTGTCTCCCACTACGCCTTCCTCAATGCAGGCTGCCAACCAGTTGAACTCCCTGCCTTTCCACATAAAATCTCTCTCTCTCTGTATCTATATTCAAAGAGATACCTCCACCAGCGCTGGCCTACCGTCATAGCCAACGAAATAATAACGCAGAAAACATCTAGGCATTCCCTTCCTCAGTGATCATTGTCGACGAACCTAAACGTATGATCGACTGCTGTTGTACGTATGCGTGTAGTACGCTGTAACCTCCACTATTTTGACGTGTGAAACACTTCTACCTCAGTAGATACAATAGCACAGTCACCGACTGTACCATCCTTCGGTTTCTCTTTCGCAGCTATAGGAGGAATTGACGATGACCCCAATCGGGTGGGCAGCTGCGGTGTGCCAAAAAGCCCGCAGAGGCCAGCTCTGCGCATCATCGGAGGGCAGCCCGCAGCCCGGGGACGGTGGCCGTGGCAGGTGAGAGTGTTACGAAAACTGGAATTCTGCATGTCTACATATACACTCACAAACGCACGCACAAACATGCGCAAAGGGTGATCGAGCCCTCCTTAAAAATAAATAAGTAAAACTCTCACTACCCCCTTGGTTTGTATTTGGCCTCGATGGGAGCAGTGTAAACTTAGAAGAAGTTAACGTTCTAGTAGCTAACCGGGTTACTTTCATCTTGCGCTTATTTTTCAAGGTACATCTGGAAGTCGAACCGATCAGACAATAGCGACATTACTAATTAAAGGGGCCTAGCAGCACTTTTTCAGCGTGGTCAAAAAACGCTGCCGGTCGCTATAGCCGAGGCTCCCGAGAACACGTAAGCGAAATATAGCGCAGCAGCCCGCTCGGATTTGAGCATTGATTCTCGAAGTCTGCTGCAAATCTCTCGCTCTTCTCGCTACAAATGATGTCACAACCCTACTTACCGCGCCATAAACCCAAAGTCTACGGCGATTGCCTGATTTGGGCATCGTGGGCTGCATGTTTAAGGCGGCCGCCGCGGGATGCCGCTACATACGGCACTCGCGATCCCACTGAATGTAAGCCACGGTTTCGCAAAAAAAAAAAAAAGTGCGAAAGTTCATGACGTGCGCTGATGAAAAGGCGTACATTCTTTTCACTCCGTTCCACCCATAGAGTTTCTCAAAATTAACTAGAGGGCACTCTGGCGCTGCGATCGTTCAGCGACCATGGGAATGATGGGTAGTACACACATTTGTCTAGTCATCGTACTTGCGGGTGGCGAATCGTACTTGCGGCTTCGTTTATTGCTGTGTTTCGATTTTGTCTTGAAAGAAAGATTCAACCTTTTTAAATTTCGTGACCCAATTTGGAAAGATAATTAAAAAAATAAGATGGTGAAGAGCAATCGCTGCACATTTGCCGATTTTTGTTTCATGAGAAAACAGCTTCAAGCCACACGAACACACACGGAGCCAAAAGCAGGCCAGAAGTACGAAGTTTAGACAAATGTGTGTACTACCCATCATTCCCATGCTCGCTGAAGCGCCGTGTGTTGCAGCTCCCATAGACACTAGCGCCAGAGTTCCCTCTAGTAAGTATTGTGGGAAACTCTATGGTTCCACCCTCCCCCGCGTAGTTTTTAGTGCTCTCGCTGCCACGAAAGGAACGAGAAATAATGAAGTGTGCGGCAAACTCAAGCAATTGAGCTCGTAGCTGACGGAAAGATTTTTGCGGCAGTCAATTCATGATGCAACAAACTCCTTTAATGGAGCCATGAAATGATTAGTTGGAAAAGTGTTCCAGGGCCCGTTTAAAAGCCTTGTGGCATCAATAAAAAAAGAAAGAACGAACGAAAGAAAGAAAGAAAGAAAGAAAGAAAGAAAGAAAGAAAGAAAGAAAGAAAGAAAGAAAGAAAGAAAGAAAGAAAGAAAGAAAGAAAGAAAGAAAGAAAGAAAGAAAGAAAGAAAGAAAGCTGTTATGCAACAGGGCATACTTGACATAGTAACTAAACCCGCAGGTCGCGGGCTTGAATCCCGGCTGTGGCGGCTGCATTTTCGATGTTGGAAAAAATAATGTATGCCCGTGTGCTCAGATTTGAGTGCACGTCAACAAATCCCAGGTGGTGGAAACTTCCGGAGTCCTCTACTACGGCGTCTTTCATAATCATATGGTGGTTTTGGGGAGTTAAACGCCACACATCAATAAAATCAATCATAGTAATTAAGTTCAAACATTCATGGGCTTTGTCTAGGCCAAGCATAATTATATAGACAGAATTGGTGAAATTATTCCTACACTATTTAGTAAGAGTGCAAGGTGGTACACCAGCGGGGCCAGGGGACACTGCGAGCAATAGATGTCACGTCAATCAAATAGGGCAGTCGTCACTGCACAGCGAATGACTTGAGATAGGCCGTGGCAAGTGCAACAGAATATCGACAGTATTACTTAAAGTTTATAATTGCTCCTTAACATCTGTTATAACAAATAGTTATACCATGAAAAAGTAATGCTGTTGTTGAACGCTGTTAAACCTAATTTTACTAGCGATAAGGTGGTTTTGCTTGCTTTGGGAACAGATAAGACCATTAGTTTGCAGTGATGCCTACTTCTGTGGAGGTGACTTCCAGGCAGCAGCTTTTGTAGCAGCAACTGCAGCATCTACAATCGCACAACACACAAACGCTCATCGGTGTCACCGACGCTCTCTGACTGAACATGTAGTGAACTTGAATGCAACCAGTTCCTCTGACTGTGGCGTTACGAAAGACTGAACTTTAGCCGCTACGCGTTCTCGTGAACGCGCCGCATCGATGTTTCGCTGAAGTTCCAACAGATAGCAGAGACGCGGCTACCATCCCACTCAGTTTGTGATAGGGGCTGCCGTAATCGATCTTCACGTGAAAGACAGCTCCACTGAACCATTTTATTCCTCCCTGAACAAGAATCTCTGTGAATCTTCCCGCGTCGAGTTTGGGGCGATTGGCCACGTGCTCTCGCCTTTCCGCTGATATTGCTCACAAAAGATCGGTAGCTTCGAAATGATAGAGAAATTCAAAATTGACGAAGAGTCCATTGTTTTCAATATTAGGTTAGCACAGGTCAGCTGCTAAACCGGTGTCACAGTCATTGAAAGCGAAAATGCTTGGTACTCTGTTCCACGTCCAGTACTTGACCACATTCGCTGCGATAGTGCGAGAAACATCAACGAGCGAAGGGCAGGAGAGGTGGACGTGCCACCGCATGAGTGGTAGGGAGCGCTATTTCCCGCCCTTCGTATGGCACGACAGATTGCGTGACACGCGTGCGCTTCTCGATCTACTGAGCCCCACGAATGGCACTCATTGTTCTTAACTACTTTTCTTGTTTTTTTTCTTGCTGGTGACAAAAAAAAGCGTAATGTGTGACGCCAATGCGCACGCTATCGCACTTCTGCACTTCGCGGTCAGGCGTATTCATTATCAATGCTCTGTATATCGCATATATAAAAAAAACTTTATGTTCACATAGTGCTTGCTTTGACTAGTTGGGCTTTATTGACAGTGCCATGGTCATAATAAAGACAAGGTATCGTTCTATTGGTTTAGAACAGGGTTTGTCAAGCATGTTAACCCAAGGGAACCCTGCTAAGCTCCATAAAGTGCCAAGGGACTCCTCCTCTCCGCGCGCTCCTTTCATGCTTTCATTTCCGCATGTTTTATTCGGTTCATCATATACATTCACGTGCAATAAATTCAAAAGCAAGAGCATATACAAGAGAAATTTACTGACATGCAACTGACCCCATTTTCCTTACACCAGTAAATTGATGCAAGGCACACTCAGGGACAGCCTCATGTCGGCTGCTGGATTCAGCCGATTCCTGCGGATCATTTTCAGATAGACTAATGTCAAGAAGCCTGCTCACAAACATATGTTGTTGCCAATGGCAGTAGCATGTCCACTGCCTTGGCACTTATCTTCAAAGAGGGAAATGCGCATGAAGGTAATTAATATAAGGCCTGAGAGATTCAACTGCAGTAGCGTAAACACGCGGCCCATTTTCAGTGCCTGACTGGCTACAAGTTGTGAGCGGGGTTTAATGAACAGCTTGCACATTTTTGTTATGTAATGAGATGTGTTGACACAAGGGCGTGAGTGATGAAGGGTTCTTATCGATTGCACCTCGAGTTCGCCATCTAAGTTACTTCGCGAGTGCTGAACCAGGGAAAATGTATCAGTGGCTCGCGGAACTTCAAGGAAAAGCTTGTGGAACCAACTTTGAGAAACCATGGCCTAGAAATTAGTGCAGCCATTCGTTATCCAAGGTGTGACGAATGTCACGCGAGTTCAGCCTGTTCACATCAGTGAACATCGATTCGAATACGAGTCGAACGACTGTCAGACACGCAACTTACAGCATACGACAATTATTTTCTCGTAATCAATCACACACTTCAATGACGAGAAGCTGCAATAGGTAACAAAGCTTCGAGCACTTGAAATTCGCGTGAACTATATACAATGAAACGTCCGCGGTCGTTCTACGAGCAGCCTTGTCGTTTCGCATGCGAGGACACGTGAATCCAGGGCTCGGTACTTGTTTCTTACCCAACCCTGACACTCGCCCAGAGATTGCTTGACTAAGTGAGCTGGCACAAACATGCTAAACTCGATGCGCACATCAGACGATTTTTGGTTTCACTGCTGCCTCCTCAAAAAAAAAAAAAAACGGGGAAAGATTGCTAACGAATGTCTTCCAAACCATTCACTTCAGAAATATATATAAACAATGTGTGAAGTTACCGGCGAAGAGCGAGTGATATAGCCAGGAGAACTAGTTCTCTTTAGTCTACTTATACAAATTTATTACAAGTTGGGAAGAAAGTAACTCACAAGTAATAGATTACTTTGTTGTAATTACTGTATTATGTTTTTGAAGCAGATTCGCCATCGCACTAAGGTGCGCTTTTGATGGAAGTCGTTGCAGTCGGATCTTCAAGATGCACAAGCGTGATGAAGCTTTATGTAAAATTTTATCTTCTGTGCAGGTGGCGTTGCTCAACCGGCGGCGCGAGCCTTTCTGCGGCGGAACCTTGATTTCTCCCGGATGGGTGCTCACGGCGGCTCACTGCATCCGCCGCCGGCTCCTGGTGCTGGCCGGAGAGCATAGCCTGGGTCGAGATGAGGGCTCCGAGGTCACTGTGCGAGTAGCCGAGGCCATCGCGCACCCTGAATATGACCCCGAGACCGTGGACATGGACTTGGCGCTCCTGCGCTTGCGCAGTGCCCTAACGCTTGGGCCCTACGTGCTGCCGGCCTGCTTGCCCCAACAAGGCGACGCCCCGCCGCGCGGGGAAATCTTCACCATACTCGGCTGGGGCAAACTCAGCAAGAGGCACGCCAACGGCTCTGACCTGCTGCACCAGGCGCAGGTGCCGCTGGTATCCCAGTCTGAGTGTCGCAATGTGTATGCAGACTATCTCATCAGCGACAACATGCTGTGTGCGGGATACCGACGCGGCAGGATCGATTCGTGTGCTGGGGACAGTGGTGGACCACTCCTGGCTAGAGACGTCCACGGTCGCTGGACAGTTTATGGCGTTACCAGCTTCGGCGAAGGCTGTGCACGTCAGGGACGCTTTGGAATTTACGCGAAAGTTGCCAACGCGGCACGCTGGCTGCGCCGCACCATGGCCGGCAGCCGCCCCTAGACTCATCACCACCTATACATACCCGTGCTTCTAGTCTCAAAGCCGGCACGCGCCGGCCGTGTGTCACTCGTCTTATTCATATGTATACGCAATTGCTTTTATATGCTTCTCAAAGAGGCCATAGTCTTGCGTGCTCCTCTATCACGTGCCACAGCATGATCCAAATAAATATTCTATATACATGGTGTATACAGTCACAAAAGTGTTGTAGCTCGGGCGAGTTGGTCATCCATAGACTTAGCTTGTATTAGTGTGGTACACATAAAAAGAAAAGACGACGCAGACGTAAAGAAGCCAAGCGCTGCCTTTCGCGCCTACCATTCATTGCGTCTGTGTCATTTTTTCTCCTTATATGTACCGCGCTAATGGAAGCTAATGTAATTATACAGCCATATTCTATCAGGAATGGAAAAAAATGGCAGATCCCACGTGCAGTGGGAACAGATGATATGCGAAGCACGAATGAGGAAGGCTGATATGTCCCTTTAAAATCAGCACAACGTCACGAGGCGGACGCAAATTATCCCGTACATGGCTTCCCTGTCATTATTATCATGTTTGGGCGTGTCGTTAACCTTCGTCGTCTGTTCACGTGACGTGATATCAAAGTTGGTATATGTGGAGCAGGCGAAACGGCCAGGAGAACGCTATGAGCGTAGCATGTAGTCATGTTTTAGATGAAAAGCATGTCATAATAATCATGTTTGGACGTGTCATTTGCCTTCGTCGTCCATTCACGTTACGTAATACCAAATTTGGTATATACGTGGAGCTAGCGAAACGGCTGCGAGCGTGCCATGAGCGTATCATGTATTCATGTTTTACACGACACGCATGCCGTCATTATCATGTTTGGACGTATAATTTACCTTCGTTGTCCATTCACATCACGTAATACCAAATTTGGTATATGGGAAGCTAGCAAAACGGCCGCGAGCACCTCATGAGCATGGTATGTTGTCATGTTCTTAGATGGCACGCATGCCATTATTAGCATGTTTCCACCAGTCATATACCTTCGTCATCCATTAACATCAGGTAACACCAAATTTCGTTTATGTGAAGCTAGCTAAGCGGGCGCGAGCGCATCATGAGCGTGGCATGTAGTCATGTTCTTACATGACACGCATCTCATGACTATCATGCTTGCACCAGCCGCATACCTTCGTCATCCATTCACGTCCTGTAATAATAAATTTGGTATATATGTCATGGCTAGCGAAACGACCACGAGCGCATCATGAGCATGGCGTGTAGTCATGACTTACATGACATGCATTTCATAATTTCCGCGTTAGGGTCTGCCACTTGTGTTCGCCACGCAGTCATGTCATACCATACCAGTTTTGCCCCGCCATGGTGGTCTATTGGCTAAGGTATTCGGCTGCTGACCCGCAGGTCACGGGATCAAATCCTGGCTGTGGCGGCTGCATTTCCGATGGAGGCGGCAATGTTGTAGGCCCGTGTACTCAGGTTTGGGTGCACGTAAAAGAACTGCAGGTGGTCGAAATTTCCCGAGCCTTCCACTACGGCGTCTCTCATATTCATATGGTGGTTTTGGGATGTTAAACCCCACAAATCAAATCAATACTATACCAGTTTTGCAATATGTCATGGGAGCGAAACCACCGCAAGAGCAGGAAGACCATGGAATGTAAGTCATGACATACATGTAATGATATTCATGTTATTACTAGCCATGTATGCTTGTCGTACAGTTATGTTATGCCATACCAATTTTGGTCTCGATACCATTATCGAAACGGCCAGGAGAGCAAAAAGTCGTAGGCGGCTAGATAGATAGATGGATTGATGGATGGACGGACGGACGGACGGACGGACGGACGGATGGACGGATGGATGGATGGATGGATGGATGGATGGATGGATGGATGGATGGATGGATGGATGGATGGATGGATGGATGGATGGATGGATGGATGGATGGATGGATGGATGGATGGATGGATGGATGCGCTCAAAGTCACTGAAGTTCGCCAAGAAATGCTTCACATTTCTTTATGCATGGCCACATTGTTGAAATTGATTATTTAAAGAATCGAAATGAAAGACATGGTTCCAAGATGCGCTATTCGCCCGTCGTTGCGCCTTCGGGAGACAGCGCACTATAAGACAGTGTATTAATTAGGATGTCTCCAAACATGCTCTTCATCGCTCCACTACGTGTGTGTTAAGAATGAGCACTTGCTACGTACAACAATAATATTCCCGATGAACTTTGCCATGTGAGTTCGCATCATGGCAGTGCGCTCGAAAGCATGCTGAGGCTATTCAGTCACTGTCTTACAGGAACTTGTCGTTGCTAGCGCAAACCACAACATAATTTGTCGGCCTTTTGACAGAGTCCTAGCGAAAAATCCAGTGTGTTTTAAAAGTATGTTGTTCACACTAGTAGTAAATGTGTGATAAAAAATTCGTTCAAACAGTCACTACAAAACAAAAAGGAGGGAAGGGGCTGTGGTTTCCCTTGCGACAGTGCTATTACGCAGCAAATCATGGGTTGATGGGAAAAATATCTACAGCTTCTTGAACCTCTCCGGCTCCTTAAAAAGTTGGGGAAGCGAAAGAAAAATTGTACAGATACTTAATAAAGAGCAGCTTCGCTGAAAATCTATTAGAACGGTTAGTTGCAACTGACCATGCAAGCTAATACGATTATGATAATGATTATCTGCAATCAGGATGTGTTTATTTGCTTTGTCGAGATACGCACAGAATATGATGATCTGGAGCTATGCAATGCTTAGATTTCATGTTAAAAAACCAAATTAAAGTGAGTTATGCCACGGGGCATGAAAGCAAGGTGTGTACAATACTCGGCAACAAATGAACAAGCTGCGTGGGTAATATTTAGCTTTGTTGTTTACGAAAGAAATTGACTTGCGACGTAAGCCGTCTGCACTGTATAATGCATTTTTGGTATCAAAGAGCAAATATCAGTACGTTCCAAGAAAACCTAACTCTTAAAATTTGCTTATTGTAGCACGGTCATTCTGCTGCAATATTGGTGCGTGGAACTCTTGCGTTTTGTCTTAACGCCTTGATACCGTAACACTGAAATGCGCTGTAAACTTTCAATGAGTAAAAACATCGAAGGAATAGTCAGGACAAGTTTGACGGGTCCTTGTGTATCACTTCACATTTTCGTTTCCAGTCATACAAATTTCCAATCCAGCGCCTCCTTTATTTTATCAATGCCACCCAGATTCGCCCGATCTGGCAGCTCACCAACCGCTCCTCCGCCCCTTTCCTACTCTCGCCCATCGCCTATAGCCTTCGCGTGTGCTTTGCTGGCATGGGGGAGAGAACCTTCCATGGGGTGTCCTACGACGGAAATTATATGGAGTAATTTTTGTTCGTTGTGTACAGATCCGTGAGACAGCGTCTTCTCTTCATTGTGCTCCCAATGTTGGCGCCGTGGTCACGCTGGCTCTGAAAGAGACACGGTGTTTTGAGAAAGGGCGTATCCGTTCGTGGCGCTATGCGGGCAACTCATTGGGACGCGTCACTATATTGTGAAAGAAGACAAAGAAGATCTCTCTGAGCTGCTGCTTGAGTAGTCGACTAAACGAGCCCATTTTTTTATCAAGTTTGTCGAGAGTAACGTGACAAGACTGGTGGAGTTGCTGGGTACAACGTCTTGCAATCCACCCGATGCCCAAGACCCCGTCCAGCAGCCGGAACACAAGCCCTGCACCCGTGGACACTCCTGTTCATAGATTAAGCCGCCGCCAACGAGGCCTACCGCCCGAGACACCAACCACTGACGCAGCGACTATGACTTCAACACAAGATCCCATGCAAGCTCCGACACCTTCCACGCCGATCTACTGCACCGTCCAGAACCCGCTCATGCCTAGCCCCTTTCACGGAGCGCAGCATGAAGATGTTGACGACTGGCTGAGTGAGTTCGAACGTGTCGCAGCGATCAATTACTGGGATGATGCCGCGAAGCTCCGGAACGTGTACACGTGCCTAAAAGACGGTGCCAAGACGTGGTTTTTGAACAGGGATGATGTTCTGACATCTTGGCGCGAGTTCCAGCGTCGCCTCCTGGAGACCTACAGGAGTCCCGACCGCCGCGAACGGGCGGAGCGTGCACTTCAATCACGCATCCAGATGCCCAACGAGACCGTCTCGATGTACGTCGAGGACATGACACGGCTTTTTAAGCGAGCGGATCCTGCTATGGCAGAAGAAAAAAAGTTGCGCCACCTCATGCGTGGTGTGAAGGAACAACTTTTTGCTGGTTTGGTGCGTAGACCCCCAAAAGTGTTGCTGAGTTCCTTACTGAAGCGGCAACAATGGAGCGAGTACTGCACCAACGGTCTGCCCAGTTTGACCGTCAAGTGAATGCTGCCTCAACTCCCGAGATTTTCGCCACCCCTGGGAGAAAGAGCCCCGAATGGATTCGCGAGATCATTCGATCTGTCGTCCGGGAAGAAATGGAAAAGATGTACGGGACAAGGCAAATCGATGTTGGTTCTATCACCAGTGTCATCCGCGACGAGGTCCAGCAGGTGCTGCACGCCCATCGTTTTCCGCCCACGTCGGTTGATCTGGAAACGGCTCCTGTGTCTACTGACAGTCGCCGTCGTACGTACGCGGAAGCCTTGCGATCTGCCACTCCTCTTTCGGGTCAAGGAGTCCCGATCCAGCCAGTGCCGCACGTCCCGATCCAGACAGTGCCGCACGTCCCGATCCAGACAATGCCATACGTCCCGATCCAGACAATGATGCCGTCAGTCGCGATTCAGTCAGCGCACGCTGATTTGGACATCGATAGTCGCCGTACACCGACGCGCAAGTCTGATCTCTGGCGTACGCCAGACAGACGACCCCTCTGCTATCATTGCGGTGAGGCTGGTCACATTTACCGCGAATGCCCATACCGGCAACTTGGACTGCGCGGATTTTCCGTCAATTCCCCTCGTCCCCGAATCGGTCAAAGGCCAAGGGATATCGAAGAATATCTCGCGCAACAGCGTGCACCCTTTACACGACGGCAATCGCGGTCACCATCTCCGAGGAGACCCGCAGCCACTGGGCCACGTTTTGGGGTGATGGCACGGGAACGCTCCCCGAGCCCTCGTCGGGAAAACTGAAGGCAGCGGCCTTCGGGGGCAAGGTCGCTGGGACTCAAAGTGCGGAAGACCTCCCATCGATGCTTGCACGC